AATTAAATGTTGCTGAAACAGCAAGTTTCTCAGTGGTTCTGTGCTCAACAATGATGTCTTGGTGGATTAGTTGAACACAGATCTGCTTAGCCTTCAACACAGCGCATCTTCAAAAGACAAGTTTATAAAATACATTTTAACTATCTGTATTATTCGATACATAGTGTATTGAATCTAAAGCACGGTACTGAACGATTCGAAACAGATAAGTGTATTGCTGCACACCTAACTAATATTCAAGCAGATTGTAAAGTTTTCAAGATTTTAATTGCCAATAATTATTTTGAAGACCTTTTTTTTCTCTTCTGTTGGACTATTTACTGTCATTTTCTATCTCTCAGGTAGTAGAGAAGTGTCTGAGTCTTGGAGCCCAGAAAGCTCTGTATATAGCAGCAGACATGGGGAATGAGTCTGACCCTGACAAAGTGGTGGATTTTGCTCTGGAGAAGCTGGGAGGCTTGGATTACCTGGTTCTCAACCATATTGGCTCATCTTCCTTCAGCATGTGGGACGGAGATGTGGAACACGCCAGGTGGCTAATGAAGGTAATGAAGCATTTTAATAGTTTATCAGTACATAAAACCTAAAGATTGTCCTGATCTGTGCGTGTTTGTGTGTTTGGGTATATCTTGAAGGTCAATTTCTTCAGCTATATTCAGATGGCCTGGAAAGCCTTGCCCTCCCTCGAGCAAAGTAAAGGATCTCTGGTAATTGTTTCATCAGCTGCAGGTGAATATGCCTCACTGATAAACATAAAGTGTATACCTACATCTCTATTCATATTTAGACAAATGTTTTCTGCCAACCACAACTATTTTAAGCTTGGATAATTGTTCTTCAAACCATTGCTCAGTTATTATGATAACTTCTATGCAATAAAAATACTACATTATGGGCTTGTATTTTTTTTTTAAAGAAAAATGCATCCCCGTCCTGAAAATGTCAAAAAATGTTTATTGTGAAGGTATGAACAAGTTTTATATGGTAAAAAAATGATGTAATCAAATAAGTTTATGACTTGTATAGGTGTAGAATTAGCCTGGCCCTTGCCACACAGTTCCGTTCAATATTCCTTTTGCACATTACAAAGCACACATGAAACAAACTTTTTGATTGGATGGCGAAATGCCCCCATAGTTATTGTGAAAGTGAGGGGGAATGTAATTTGAGAGAGGGAGGTGATGATGGCGAGTTGTAATATCGTGGTTTTGGAAAATGGTGGACAGCCAATGGATTAAAGCCCTGAAAAGTGTGCCGCAGATCTGCGTATCAAAGAAGACAATTGACAAAACAAGGATGTTGAAGTCGGCAAGAGCTATCGCGTTTTTGAAAGATGGCCACGTTCCGATTGTTGGCGTTCGTGGGTCTGCTGACAATAGTGTTTTTGCTGGCACTACATGCTAAAGTCAAAGCAAGCACTTTTCTGATTGAAACTGGTGAAATCCTTCAGGCCTTGTTTGAATGCCCAGCAGGGTAAGTTAGTTGTTCTTGTCTTGTTTTCATCAAACTTTTGACTCGAATCAGAATCAAACGTTTGTGTCAATGCCATAGAACTTGTTTCACCAAAACTTGCTGAACTTTAGACTGATTTGGTTTATTATTTATTTATAATTACACACTTTACTGGTTTTTGTTGGAGTGAAGTTGTGATGGCGAAGTGCATTGAGCCACAGCTTTCTTCTGATTTGCTTGACTATCCTAGAGGAATTTGGTAAAAGGACCAAGCTTCTCTTTTATCTTTTACCTGGTCACGTTGCATCAAACAATTATACACAYTACAAAAGTCACTTTTCCCCATCGCTATTGTTGGAAGGATCGCAAACACTCAACACGTTTGGTGAATAATCCCCCTTACTTCTGGTGAATGCACGAAAACYGCATGTGCGCATGCGTTATGACCGAAATGTGCAAAAGGTTAATTCCAGTGTCCCTTCACTGCTCTGTCAGGGATTTCTCCCATAGACAAGGATTTCTCTGGTAGAATTTCAATGGGCCAAACAGAGAACAAAAGGAGTTGTGAATGACGACGTCAATTTTCTGTGCCATTTTAGTTTTGGTCCGTAAAAGAATACTAATTTTCTTACATTCCTTTAGCAATGGAAGCGGAGGAAGTGAATAAGGTTTTTCTCATTTACAGCTATCTCAATTGGCTCCATACTATTTTTCAGTAGAGGATGGTTGCTTACAGCACACGTTTCCACTTAGCTTCTTAACTTAGCTTCCTTCGTGATCGAGCTGGCTCACTGCAAACGTGCACAGCCAAATGTTAGTGTTTGGATAAATCAGATCCAATCATTTAAACTTCAACAGAGGCCACGCCTCCAGCAAGAAATCGCTTCTAAATAGCCGAGGGTCCAGACCCTCTGTACAAAGCAAAGTTTAGAACAAGGGGCTGGATTTTACCTGGCTAGTTTAGAATTGACTATTCTTTTTTTAAATTTAATTTCCTTTATGATTATTTTGTTTTTTGGTTGTATAGTTGTATTATTTGAAGATGTTTAAACCAAAGCCTTCGTTGTGTAAAACGTAAATTAAAAACAGAATTTGTTGATTTTCAAGTTTCAAAAATGAATCTCATTCTCTATGAAACATAATAATGGCTAAGGTGTAAGTTGTACAGGAAAGAATGCGAGCCAAAGGATAGAAATACAAAGTTTTTATTTTTTTTTTTGTGTGTGTGTGTGTGTGGCCTTGTTTTTCCTACATTGTGGGACCCAGTTTTAAGGAAAATGCAGCCTCGTGGGGACTGGGTGCTCCTTCTGGGGACCAAAGCCTGGGCCCCACAACTTCGGAGGCTGATTTTGGGCAGGGGGGTTGGGTTTAGGACCAAGGTGTGAATTGAGTTTAGGTTAGTTTTAGGGTCAGGTAGGTACCTGTGAGGTTAACTTTAGGGTCAGGTAGGTACCTGTGAGGTTAACTTTAGGGTTGGTGGTCAGGGTTAGGATATAAAATTACCAAAAAATGAATGGAAGTCAATGGATGGGCCCCACAAG